CAAGTAATAAAAATAAAGGCCTTGCCATATATTAGGATTGCTCCCATAAACTCTCTCTTCTTATGCAAAGTAACTTCATTTTGATACTCATAGCCTAGGCACACGGGTTTCGTCATTAGTCAAAGCTCGTGCTTTATATGAATATATATGTCTGAACTTGAAAAGAAGTAACTTGTTATGCCTTGTCACAATAAGACAACTATTTACTGAGCCCTAGTCTCGCCTCGAAATCAGTACCAGTGAACATACCCCACTATTTCACCAATTATAGCAACTACATGCCAGAACATCATTACTTCTCTATTTCAGCAATCAGATATTAACATCACCTCAGTTAGATTAAATGACGGAGATAGTTCATAAGCACTTTCTTCTCATGTATTATTTCTCTATCGAACGAAAGTCTGCGCCTTATATGAACATTCATGTTTGGACTTGGAGGATTATTACTACACCAGCTAACATACAACAAGAAACTATCTAAAGCTCGCACTCCACATCCCTTTACTTACCTTGCCTACCCGAGGACATCTCGCTAAGAAGTTGAAGTGACTAAGAACCTCAATCAAAGCGACATGTAGAGGTTGAACATCCATGGTGAAGGCGAGATACCACGAGCTGCTACAACATATCTCTAAAGTGCTGGGCTTTTGTTCTACAAGGCATTTTCCATAGCATTACTTCGTCCAAAACATCGTCTATTCGAGATTGATTTGGCAACTCTACCTCTCAGTCAACTTTTCAGTGTACTTTTCCGATGATAGGCTTTGGACATAGGGTGCCTTTTTACAAAATCATTTAAGGTTGCGACCTAGGACAATGAATGTGATGCCTATGAGGTCAACCTATGACTAAATGAGGCCACATGTCACTCATCCAACGATAACCACATCTTCCTTCCTACTATAAAAGCTAACAATTGGTGTTATTCAAAGGTAATACAATTTTACACTCTCAACAGTTTAATACAAATTCTTATTGCTCTTGTTCATCATCCATCTCACACCCAAATATCTCTATGGATGATTAGTTTGATCTCAGAGTGCCCGCGATCATTTTCCACATCGTTAAAGAAGGTCACGTGCACCTAAAGTTTGTCCAAGAGCACAAGAACTTGACATATGTATGGGAGTCGAGCAGGGATTTGTTGGCCACACTGTCTCCTTGAAATCTCGAGGTCAACAAATGTGTTCCTTGCTTATTTTTTTTCTTCCTTTCGAAATAGTGCAAAGAAGAATATGTATACTTGACTGTATTTATTAATTTTAAAATTGGAGACATTTTTCTATATTTGTTCGATTGAAGTAGCGGATGATAGAAACCAAAAAACGATTTTACTTTTTTCTTGGTTAAATCATTGGTTGGTTAAGTGGAGTTTTTTTTCTTGGTATTAAAATCAAGAATCAGAACCGGCTGAGTCTCGATTTTTTACCCAGAATCGATTAGAAATTGAGTAGAATCGATAGGTTTCGACCATACTCTAGTTCGGTCCCATAGTTCTGGTAACTTTTGCCTACCCCTAAATAGAATTCCCATCTCTACCCAAACTTGTCTTGCTTTTTTTAATTTTATTTTTATGTTTTAAATGTAATGGTATATTAAACATAATTAATTAAATATAATACTAAATGAGGATATTTCAATTCCACACACCCTATGGCTATAACTCTTCAAACTCATGAAAAATTCCATTCCCTAATAGATTTTTAGGAAAATATAAAGAGTAAATTAAGAACCTCACAACCTGACTTGAGGTATATAATTTTGATGATTGACTTTTATTCTTATAGAATAAAAAAAAATGGTGTGTAGATCATTTGGAAGAGTGTCTGCCTTTCCACGTGAGATACCTTGGTTCGATTTCCTTCAATAATATTCTCTCTTTCAATTTTTAAACACGATAAATAATAACTAAATATTAATTAATAATTGTACTAATGTTCAATAAAAAGAAGTGTAACTCATATAGTAGAAGTGTCATCTTGTTCATTAGATGTATGAGATTCGACTCTATGCTTTTTTACTTTTTTGTTTAATTTTTTAATATAATAAATAATAACTATGATTTATTTAACCAACCAACGATTTTACTTTTTCCTTGTGAATTTCACCTTAGTACATCAAAACTCAAAACAAAATGATTCGTTAAATTCCATAGATGTCATTTTAGATTAATAAGAGGCTTGAGTTTCTTTTATCCTTTCCAATTTAAAATTTGGAGCCCCTTAAATTATAAATAAAATAGAAGTCATATTGAAACATATTTTTAATGAACTCATTCAAGGCATTAGTCAAGTAGTTGATGTAAATTGTCGTGTTTAGTTAAATTTGAGAAATACAAATCAATCCTTCGAGAAAAAAAGGTTCATTCTCTTCGTAGAAATAGGAGGAGAATCAATAAAGATTTTTTTTTACCCATCCGCGGCATCATTAGCATTAATATAAATAGTTTTAATGAATAGATTATGATAAGTTTAGATGTTAAACTATTATAGTTTAAACACTTGTGTAATTACACGCTTCATTTGTATTGAAGATGGAATCGATAGTTTCATTTTCAAAAGGCTGATGGCGCAACACCCCCTATCTATTGGAATTAGTACAAAAAGTCCTAAAATAACTCACAGTCGTCTATTTTCTCATTAAAAAGTTGGGAAATAATTAATATATCTTCATATTTAAATAAAACAAAAGGGAAAGAAGAAAAAAATAACAAATTGATTGCAATTATAGCCCCAAATGTTTTTTTAAAAAAATACAAACGAACCACAAATAAATTATTAAAAAAAAAAAAAATTCACTTCATATGCCTCCTCTCCCACCACTACACTTGTAACACTACCATTCACCTCACATTATTTCAGTGGTTAAAACAATATTATTCTAGCTAACTCAGCAGTAATCCACGACAAAAATCCAATTTATCAACCTAATCCATCGATCTTACTACAATTGGGTCAAATTGATGCAGGAATCCGTCTCTATGTTGCCGAACCCTTCACATATCCAGTTCCCTCAATCAGTGCCGCCACCGCTGAAAGACCGGGTTGGCAGGGCATGTCCTGCCACAACCACAGCCAATTCCACCACCAAATTTTGCAGCCATCAATTTTACGTCTGTACCGCTACAGCCTCAGCATCGTCTGCCAATTTCCAAAAAAAAAAATTTATGCCTAATTCAGGCTCGAATGGAATCCTGTAACATATTGGCAACTTCCTTAAATCGACGGAGATAAAGCAAACACCGAGACTCGAGCTCTAACGCAACCTCTATACGCGGAGAAAGAGCCGATGCTGCATCCAGAAGAAGTAAAGCTGCCGCAATCTCACTTTGTTCTTGCGTTGCAATCAACATTTTCGCCTCCATCACATATCTCTCCACTATCTCCGTTTCACGAATCAATTAATGGGTCAGTACAAGTGTAAACATAAATTAAAAAGAATGAATTCAATGTTACACGAGAAATCAGACGTCATGATTGCGGAATTTGAAGTAACTTTTTATTGGTAAGCCACCAAAGCTTCTTTTTCCCACCGGCGAGAGATGGGGAAACGGTCATTGCTATCGTACAAGGAACAACCATCAACTCCTTTCACTCTGTATATATACACACACAATATGGTTGTCTAAAATAGAATTCAAAATTAGGTTTTGTGACTTCTTTTATTGTTGCGGTGAGTTCCGACGGCGGCGACGGTGGAGGCGGAAAGAGGTGGTGGTGGGAAGGGAAGGGAATTTCTTTTATTATTATTTTTAAATTTTTTAATAATTTATTTGAAACTCATTTATACTTTTTTTTTAAAAAATTGAAACCATAATTGCTTGTCTTGACAAAAAATTGAGCATCTCCTAAAATTTACCCTCCTTTTATAATTTTCAGTATATGCAAATAGGCACCTCGTACCATTCAGGACAAGGCAATGTGGGACAATGCATGGCAGTACAGAAAATGTCAATCCTTAAAATAGGTCGTGATGCATATAAGTAATGGTTTACATACATATGATATGATGAGATATTATTTAATTGAAATTTTTTCAACTAAAAAAAAAACCTTCTACTTTGTTTTTTGACACATTATTTATATGTAAATCATTATGCACAACATTATTCCCCTAAAATTACGCTTCTTTTATGATTTCCAGTACGCAAATAGGCATCCTTAAGATTCAAAGGTTGACGTGTCCAAGCATTACTCAAAACCACATGGCACCAAACAAAAGGTTGATGGTTTACTTGCAACCCTGTTTTAAAAGTGCTAAATTTACACAAATTAATCTATTTGTACAATGTTGGTTATGACAAAAAAAATGTAGGTTAAAAAGAAGTATTATTTTTTCAACTATCCAATAATATGCCACATCACATGTTTGTCATCAATATTGTCAAAATCATTCTTCGTCAAGCATCATTCAATTTACACTCCCAAATGTACACCTATAATCATTTTTGGTCGGCCACGTACTTCTCGTATAAGGCCATTGATGCATCAGAAATTTTGATTGGTAAACTGAAACACTTTTCCTCTGCACTGGAACTTGAATTGCCTATTTGTACATTCGCATCGGAAACCAAGTCGCTAGTTATTAATATTGAACCTGGTTTTCCATCAGCTAGAAAATGTATGCATATTCAATTAGCAAAACCGTAGATATTAAAGCGCAAAATAGCTATGTTATCAAACTCAAAAAGTCACCGCCTCTTCAAAGATGACCGTCTATAATAATCATGATAAACACAATATAAGCTTAGGGTAATGCACCCTTGAAACAAAAGTTTGCAATTCCTTGCATAAGAAAAAGTCAGCACTAAAGTATCCCACACTTAGAATTCCAAGCACACCAATTGATATCCAACCGACCCCGAAACCAACAGACAACTCCAAAGCGCAAAATCATGCTTTCATATTTGTAATCTGATACTCATCTTAATTCTTATTCACCTCACAGGGCAAAGCTCGAACCAAGTTCAACAGGAACCCTGACAAGGGCACGGGATTTTACTTCTCACTGCCAGTTTTTTCCTGCTGCTCAGTTTCACCCTTCTTCTCCTGGGAGGACACAGGTGCATCTTCGGCCTCTTGCTTCTCTTCTGTATCTTTGCTTTCAACACTCAACTTTTCAATAAGGTTGGCAGCAGTAGTGCCTTCTTCACTATCCCCAGTAGTTTTTGCTAGCGATTCAGTGATTTCTTCAATCTTATCTTTGAAAGATTTGCAATCTGTAATGTAAATACAAATGTAAAAGCATATCAGCTGACAGATACAAATAAAAAGTACAAAGAGCAACTATATATCTAAGCTAATACATTTTGTCTAAGGTATTTATCAACACTTCCTAATAAGTAGATTTTATTTCTGTAGACATTAAGGAGCCACAAGATAATAAGAAGAATAATGTTACTTGCAGTCGCCCTATGTGGCATACGCACGTCAAGTGTGTATTTGCTGCATTAAATGTGGTCAAAAACTCCCAC